GAGGCTCCCGAACCAAGCATACACCTTTCTCGGTGTGACGGTGGTCACCGGCTTGACTGAACTTTGTGGTGTATTGGGCACCTGGAATTTCGACCTCGTCCTAAGGGCGTATTATCCGATAAATTAGACAGTAGCCTCCAACGGTTTGCGTTTTTCACACTCGCCCCACCGAGTAAACTGACTAGCCAAGGGCTCTGGTTGTGAATCCTCCGTAAAAATTAATCTATTTTCGCCTGGGCAACCTTGCAGTATGCCATCGGCAGACTAATCATTGTATGATTTCTGTGTTCTGTACTGTTACTTGTTTGTTGCGCTATCTGTATTTAGACAGGCGTGAAGTATAATATAATAACACCCAGTTGAGACTGTCTATCTGTCTGGACGCGTGCTATTTCAGTACATGCATTTTGGTGTCTCCTCTTTTTGAAAATCATATCGTATGCTCAGAAGCAGACAGACTTAAGTTCATTTGATGCGTGCAAGTTTATTTTGCACTTGAGCGGTCTGGTTATAATTGCCATTCTTTAGCAGTACAACTTGTAAACAAATTAGTGAGAAGTATCTAAAATCCGAAGGCCCAATTGAAACAGTAGAACTTGGTATGTGAGCAACTGTACAAACCCTCCTACTCAGGACACTCAACTAACTGCCGTCAAACACCAGATCCTAGTGAGTTCTCTGGATCCCATGCGAGAAGTCGACTTTGACCTACATACTACAGTCCACTAGTCAAGATTTTCATAGCTTTAGACCAACGAATGAACCGATCGCCCTTATTTCAATCGATACTTATACAGCAAATGCTGTGCACCACGGAAATTTATTGATACACAAATACAGTGTTCCAAACTTCGTACTACGTGAAGATAAAACCTCTCTTATTGCGTGTCTGTTTTCTGTCACCCAGCACTTGACGTCTAATTTCATTATTGATTGTTTGGTTATCCTCCCAAGTCTAAACAGTACTATAGAGTTAGCGCTGCTTGTTTGCCTTCGATCTGTATGTTTATCTCCTGTGCACGCCGACCATATGTCTACAGCGCAGGTTTGGATTAGTGTACACTCAACCACCGATCAACAAACGGATGTGGTATCGACATTGTAAATGCATGGGACTGGCAATCAATGGATGAGTTTTCTACGAACACACGGGTTGTAAGTAGTACCAGCAATTTGATCATTTCGTCTGATGCGAGACTTTCTTGTGCAGATAAGCCAAGCGCGTAGCGATTTCTAGGGGATTGAATTATCTTTTGATCGATCGTGGTCATTTTCGTTTGACGACTTCTGTCTACTAGGATCACTGAGCATCCAAACATTTGTACCCAAACCGTTTCTAAATGTTCTTCCTTATCTGTTCTTACTTTCTCTCATTTCCTACTTACCTTCAATGCTGACTCACATCCTACTTTGTATTAGACCCAGGATGAACTCACACAAGCTCCCATGCATTATTCCACTCATTATCCATTGTCTGTTCACCTGATGCTACGGGCTAGTTGGCGCCGCGGTCAGGCAGACAGGCAGTTGTCGCGTTCTCACGCAGGTTGTGTGTGTGTGTTGCTTGAGCAACCGTGTCATTCAATTGAGCGAGCATCTTTCCGATCTCTTCTCCCTCTC